AAAAAAAAAAAAAAAAAAAAGATCTAGTATATATAAACCATTACCTAATTTCCCTCCATGATACTACATTATACAGTACAATTAACTTCAACATTTATACAGTCCACTGATCTTGTTCAGTTTTTGTATTTTATTAGTACTTATGTATATGTGAATCTATTTAGTTCTATGCAACTCTATCATGTGTAGACTCATGTATCACAATCAGAGAGAGAGGTATTCTGTCACAAGTACCCTCTATACTGGTTGCTCTTGTATAACCTTAATTTCTACCACCTTCTGCATACATTCTATTGTGGCAATAAATCTGTTCTACATTTCCATAATCCTGTCATTTAATATTATGTAAATCCCAGCACGTGGGAGGCTGAGGCAGGAGGGCTGCATATTGAGTTCAAGGTCAGCCTTAAAGACACAGTGAGACCCTGTCTTTAAAAAAAAAAAAAAAAAGCTATGAGTAGAATCATATAGAATACACAAAGTATAACTTTTTCTTTTCCCCAGTACTGCAGGTTGAACCTTAGGGGCTCTGTGGCTGCTAGGCAAGTGCTCTACTATTAATCTACACCCCTAGCCATTTAAAAATTTCATTTTGTAACATGGTCTTACTAAATTGTCTAGACTGGCCTCAAACTTTCATCTTCTTGTCTTGCTCTCTGGGACATCTAGGATTATAGGCATTTTCCACCTCAGCTGGCAGAATATAACCTTTGACCTTAACTTTTCAAGAAGCATAATTCTCTGGCCTACATTCAATTTATGGCATGAACTAATAGCTCATCCTCTTTCATTTTGTGAGACAGAAATCTTTTACTGGCCTGTCTAGCTTACCTGTGGCAGGGTCAGGTACAGCACACTTATCTGCCCTGGCTCCCATCATCCCTTTCCAAGAAGTTCATGGATCACCTCAGGAGAGAGGTACATCCAGGGCAGGGAAAGCTGGGGGGAATATTCAGGGTAGTTGTCCTTAGCTTAATACTGATCCATGTAGGATTTTTTATGTTCTACTTAATTTTGGCTTCTATTTTCTGTTTATCCAACAGCTGATTAGGGATCATCTTCCTAGATTGAAGAATAAACACTCTTCCTACACCTTCATATATGCTAGTTATCTATCAAAGTCTAATCTCTGTATCTGTAAGATATGCATGCTTTTTCAATTTGTTCAGCTGTTCAAGCTGAAAGTCTACAAGCTGCACTTTCTGTTGAGTATCATATAACCTTGGCTTGAAGCTCTGTGAAGGCATTCTTCAACTCTAGATCCATAGGGGCTGCCATGTTGGTGTACTCTAAGAGCCTATTCTTCAGTAGTATCTCAATGCACAAATATGGCAGTTTGTTTAATTACTTGTCCACTGAAGGACAACTGGTTTGTTCACAGTTTTTGGCTACATAAATAAAGCAGTTTTTTGGTACCAGGGATTGAACTCAGGACCTTGCACTTGCCAGAAAGGCAATAAAGTGTTTGATGATTCATGTATAAATTTTCTACATGAATCTAATTTTCCATTTATATAGATCAAGAATATAATTGCAAGGTCATATAACTGCACGTCTTGTTATTATTATTATTATTATTATTATTAATGTATTTAGTTGTTACAAGGTCTCACCACTTAGCTTTAACTCATGGTGATCCTCCTGCTTTCAGTATCCCCAGCACTGAGATTATAGGTGTGCACCACTACCCACAACTCTGGAAGTCTCAGCTCGCCCTGGGAGCGGGGCTGGCATGGCATGCGGTGCTAGGGACCCATCTGTGGTCCCTGAGCTTGCTTAAGCAGGAGCTTTAGAATGCTGAGCTATCTTGCCAGCCCAGGCATGACCTGTTTTAAAAGAAACTACCAGGAGGTAGTGAGATAGCTCAGCAGACTAAGTGCCCGTTTTGGCAAGAACAGGGGCCAGGGTTCGATCTCTGGTCCCGCATGCTGTGCTGGACCTGTCTGTGAGGTGCAATGAGCCAGTGACCAAGTCTGGCTGTGGTGGTGTATACCTGTAATCCCTGTGCTGGGGAGGCTGAAAACTGGAGGATCACTATTAATCCATGCTGCTTAGTGAGACCCTGTACCAAATACATAAAATGAAGCAAAACAAAACTACCAAAGCCTTTCACATTGGCTATACCATTTATATTTCTCCTAGCAATGTATAAGGCAGTTCCACATTCTCACCAGCATTGTTGTCGCTATTTTTTTTTTTTAATTTTGTGTGTGTGTGTGTGTGTGTGTGTGTGGCCAGCTCAGCCCCCCCGGGGGGGCTGGCATGTGGTGCTGGGAGATTGAACCGCGGTCCCTGTGCTTTGCTAAGCTTGTTCTAAGTAGATGCTTTAGACCACTGAGCCTTCTCACTAGCCCCCTGTGTCGCTATATTTAAGTCAAATGATCTCTATACTGTAGCCTTGCTGAGCTCAATAATTATTCACTTTTAGGAGATTTTTTTTTATGTTCTTTAGAATTTCTAATATATATCATCTATAGTGACAGTTTTATTCCTTCCTTTTCAAATCTATATGCCTTTTTCCTTGCGTTATTGAGATGAATAGAATTCTAAACTATTATACTGAACAAAAGTGATGAAGGATAGATGCTTGCCTTGTTCTCAATCCTGGAGGAATAGTACTCAGTCATTCACCAGTAAGTAGAATGTTAGATTTTTGTAGATGCTATTTATCAGTTGGAGGTATTCTCTATTTCTTTCTTTTTTTGGGGGGGGCAGCTTAGCCCATCCTGTGGGCAAGGCTGACGTGGCATGTGGTGCTGGAGAATGAACCACTCTCTCCTGCACCTGCCTAAGCTTGCCTAAGTAGGTGCTTTAGACTGCTGAGCTATCTCACCAGCCCCTCTACTTCTTCTAATTTTTTTTTTTTTTTACTTCTTCTAATTTTCTAAGAATTATCATAAATAGTCTCAGAACCAAATGCTTTCTGTCAAGTGATACGATTTTTCTTTAGTGGATTATACTGGTCACTTTTTTTCTCAATACTGGAGATTGCACCCAGGGCCACTGCACTACACAGGTCTTACTAAGTCACTAAGTTGCCCAGACGGGGCTCAAATGTGTGATCCTTCTGCCTCAACCTCTTACAAGTATTGATAGCCAGGCATGGTAGCACATGCTTGTAATCCCAGTACTCAGGAGACTGACGAAGGAGGATCGTTGTGAGTTCAAGACTACTCTGAGTTACAGAATGAGCTCAAGACCGGATAAGAGCCACCATGTCAGGCCTACACTG